TGACAAAGTTCTACCGGGAGCTGAATTACCACAGAGGTTGTCTCCTCTCCAAAACAAATTGACCCGAACATTAAACCATTAAAGCACAGCCACATAGCAACGTTAGCGTTAGCCATGTGGTTTGTTTACAGCTAACAGCTGATCCAGTGTTTCGGTTTAACGAGTGGCCCTGTTAACTGGTGGCCGTCAGCCGAATGCGTCTGTGGTTGAGATTGAAAACAGGCAGAGAATACGTAGGTGTCCCTGCGAATACCTCTTTCTGTAGTTCTTCATTAAAAAGTCATTTCTGATTCATCTTTGGAGTCGTGTATGTGTAAACCTGTCACGTACCACTTTGTCACGCTTTGAACGTTGCTTGAAAATGTTGAAAACAGGAAGAGGCAAGTTGTTCTTCCTGTGAATGTCAAACATTATCTCTAATAAATGTTCTAAATACTCATATTTGTCTTTGGAGTCTGTGTCAGTAAACACGTGTCATGTAGAAAAACGATTCAGCCTTTTCAAACGAATAAAATAAAAATTATTTTTATCACGGGATTTGAACTCAGATGTTAGTTTGATATTCCACTAGCCTATGCTGTCATCACCTCTCACTTGTCTGTTGGCGTGGCATAAAACAACTTCTAGAGCATACAGCCAACTCACTCCGGGAGACACAGATCAACTTGTGACCACAATGTCTGTGTTAACCAAGACCATGTCCGTATTTTACTTGTTCCCTCCACAACCAAGCCACCATTTAACACAGAGTTGTTTACAAGATGTGGATGGGCAATATTTATGTTAGTAGCCTACTTAAACATGTAGCTAACAAACGCAGATAAATATTAACCTTCATTAATTAGTTAACCAGGGCAGAAATTTTGCAGAAGGAACCAACTGTGACTTCCAGGATCTGATATGAGTGGCTGATTATTGACAAGCATTAAGGAATTAGAAACATTAAAATCGAATCGCTTAATTGAATATTGACAACATATTGCTGTGGTTTTTACATGGTTTGAATTTGGTTGTGGCTCCATGGGGCTTTATAGAACCATGATAGAGAAAGATCAAGAGGTGAATTTGTGCATTATACTTTGTCAATTAGAGCAAGCCAGGCAGCCTTCTGTGTTTGAGAACTGCGCTGTTTTTTTTTTAATCGACCTCTAGAGGGCTGCAGCGTGTTCCTGCTCGACACCCTCTGCTACAACTATTGTTTCTAGTACTATTGTTATTATTGTTATCATTAACACTACTATAAATATCTGTACCATTATTCAGTCTATAGCAACATTACCTTTACTGTCTGTACCTCTGTGTATGTGTATATTGTGTAGGCTGCCTCAATCCCCTCCCCTCTCTCTCTCTCCCTCCCTCTCTCTCTGTGTCTCTCTATCTCACCCCCAACCGGTCGAGGCAGATGGCCGCCCACCCTGAGCCATGGTTCTGCTCGAGGTTTCTGCCTCTTAAAAGGAAGTTTTTCCTTGCCTCTGTCGCCTAGTGCTTGCTCGTGGTGGGAATTGTTGGGTTTCTCTAAATATCAACACAGAGTACGGTCTAGACCTGCTCTTTTATGAAAAGCACTCTGAGATAACTATTGTTGTGATTTGGCGCTATATAAATAAAATTGAATTGAATTGAATTTTGAGAGATACTGTAGGCTACATAACTATGTGTGCAGCCAAAGTCAAAATGGTGTTGTTCACCATCATGCAACCCTAGGCCCATATTCAATTCAATTCAATTTTATTTATATAGTATAGTATAGTTTATATATTATTACATTCCTGGACACCTTACATGACATGCTCACTAATGTTCAGAGACCAGAGCAGACCAGATACGTCATCATATGGGACAATGTTAGTTTCCATAGGGCTGCTTTGGTCCGCTCTTCACTGTACTCAACCTCCCCCCTTACTCTCCATTCTTGAATCCAATTGAAGATTCTTCTCTGCCTGGCGCTGGAAGGTCTATGACTGTCATCCCCATCAACGCATAGCCCTTTTACAGGCAATGGAGGAGGCATGTGGGGATATTGACCAGGCATCATGTCAGGCCTGGATACGGCATTCCAAAAGATATTTTCCCCGGTGCCTTAGACTAGAGGACATTGCATGTGATGTAGACAAAAGTTTATTGCCAAACCCAGAGAGACGACATGATGTAGACTGATTTTTTTTTCTTCCGTTTTTTTTTCAGTGAAATTACTATTTTGTGTTTTGACTTGGAAAAAAACACTTGTGTTTGTTTTGATGTGTGTAAATAAACACCAGTACTTGAAGTTTGGATCCCTGTATGTTTACAGAACTATGACAAAAGTATGACCTCAAACTGACATAGCCTACCTTGTGCACAGAGAAAGCAAAAGCCAGATGTGTTTTTTATTCATACCATCAGTGTGTAGTTGGCGCATTGTGTGCTTATTAATGTGATGGCTTGTGTTAACTGTTTGATACAAAAATACAATTTTTACAAAGGTTTGAAGAGTTAAGCAAGGTTTATTAGCTTTTGCAAGAGAATTACAATGTTTTGCTGATTTGGTGAAGGGTTTTCTTATTTGTGTGTGGAGTTTTGCAAAAAATAGCACAAAAAATGTGCTTAAGCCATCAGAAAAAAAACTGTAAAATACATTTTTAAAACTAGAAACACCTCTCTAACTCTCCTAAAGTAAAGTCATCACCTCAGCTGAGCCCTTAAGTACAATAAATATTAGTACATAAACTGGTGCTTTGGGCTTTGCTGGCTTTGATTCTGTTTTGCTATTACCCTCATCTATTGCCCTGTCTCATGTTCACTATGTCAGTACTGGGTTGCTGGCCAGGCTGAGTACTCAAAATCTTTGCTCCAGTAGAAGTACAATTACTCCCATAACACTCAATCAAGTAAAAGAAAAAAAAGATAAACCTACTCAAGTAAAAGTATAATATAATATATTTCAACTGCTGTGATTGAGGTAAAAAACAGCCACTGTGCAACATGGTTATATCTAGGGAATGCAATTTCCTTTGCTCGTTGCTATTTTTGTTTTTTATCTTTTATTATAAACAGCCTACCAAACCACTTGCTTTGCAGCACAGGCAGCAAATACAATGTGATTTTTACTAAAGCATCTACATAATAAAAAAGAACATAATCTTTACAACGCAAAGAATTATTGTGGCAGTAACAGCAGTAACAGCAGCTCGTTGTTGAAGCAGGGTAAACCTACATACAGAGGAAGCTGTGCGGAAATGCGTAAAGCCCAACAGGACTGTTTTATCGACCAATATTTTCTCTCTCTCTGTGCATCTCAGAAATTATTGTTTGCTGAATAGCCTAAATAACAGCTGGTAACTGCTGAGCGAAAGATGAGTTTCACCTGCGACATTCTACTTGATGGACTCAATGTAGGACATCTCTATAAAGTAACCAATGTGTAATAGACAAAATGAACAAACAAGCTAATGTCCATCAAAATAAAGCAATGCTCTGCTCAACAACAGGATCACCTACTGATAATACAGTATATCAGAATCAATCCAGTGATTGTCAGACTTAGATGTTACAGTGTCTACATTTGCTCTGCAGAGACTAAATATGCTTTTAATGCGCCGTTAATGGAACGTAAAAGTATTTTACTTGCAGCTTGTGAAAAAGCGACGCAGGCTGCTTTCCAATACGTGCCATGGTGTGCGCTCATTTGATTTCAGTTGTATTAGTAGAACAATAAGGCCTTAAAGTGAAACTGTATTTGCATTTTTTTTTTAAATGTTTGCATCTGTCCAGCTCTGTGACTGTGACAAGTGCCCAACACCAGTGCTCTTCTGCATAACTGCGCACAGCCTGGACTACAGCTCATTGCAGTTAATGTAGCAAAATGCAGATAACAGACTGGTTAAGTTATGAAGGTATGAATGGAAAATGTAGAAAAATTAAAAGTACATTACTGGCCCAAAGAAATTACTGGAGTAAAGAGTAAAAACATGCTACACTGGAAGCGTCTCTATGAGATGCTCTGGGGCGTACAGACTTGAAGTGCTAGTTAGCTAGCTAGCTACCTAGCTAGCTAGCTACGTTCGTGATAAAGGTGTTGACAGCCCCCCGAAGCCCCTATCAGAACCATCAGAAATGTTAGTACCTAACCTAAGTCACTGACTTTATGCCTGTCGCGCACATCGGCTGTGAGGCTGCAATGTAGCAAACTGGGGTGTTTCATACGGACGCTGAAGGGTACCTTTAGCATAAAGTCCTTATGCTTGTCATGCTGACTGAAAGCGTTAGTTATGACACATTGAGATGAGAATGTGTTGAAGTCCACTGAGATGAGTTTAATCCGTTTAATTATGTCTGATGTGGAGTGTGTGATTGATTAGTCAATCATAGAAAACCGCCTCGACGCACACTCCGAAATTGCTGGAGGCAGGCAGGCAGTGCAAATTAAAAGTTTACACTTCGAAGGGGGGGGGGGGGAACCATTTTGAAATGAGGGGGGCAATGGCTCCTACGCGTATGAAATAACACTGAAGAGGCAATTAATTTATTAATAATGCACAGATTATTATTGACAAGAAGCAGGGCTTTCAATGTATGTGTATCCTGTTATGACTAATCAGATTTACAGTTACAATTGCATTGTAGGTGTATTAGAAGATATTCAGTTGCATTAAAAGCCAACTCAGGATGTTTTGATGGTTTATTGCATCAAAATATAGCTTTTTTTCAGATTTTTTTCGTTATTGCATCTCCATGTAGTCTGTAAAAGTAAAATAAATATATTAATACACAATGGATTCATATTCCTTAGCTTCTGACTTTTTTTTTTTTTTTTTTCTTTTTTTAGCTTCTGACTTTTCAAAGGAGACCACAATTATGCATCTAGGCCAAATGGTTGAGGAGTTATTCCTGATTCATTTTGGGTATGTAATTTTAGGCGTTTTTTCTGGAAAAAGGGGTCTGTTTTCATCAGGTTAACTTGCTCTATGAGCACCATCTGGTGGTAAAAAAAATATCATTGACTGTAAAAAACAAATCACAGCTCAACATAAAGGTCCAGGTTTATTTAATTGGTTCAAAGAGAAGAGTGGGAGCGTTATCACTAAGTTAATACATCAGAGACATCTACATCACATACAACTGTAACCAAAAGTTTAGTTAGAATGAATTCCCTTGATTCCCGTAATGTATCAAAGCAGTCCAGTCCAAACTGGGTTAAGCTTACAGGAACACTAAATTACTGGAAGAAGTGATGCAAACATGAGGGGTTTCAACATTTCCACCTTCTAAAGTCACCCTGACCGGCTTACACAGACCAGCTTCACTCACATTGCTCACTATGGAACTCATTTCTGAAAAACACTCCAACTTACCTGAACCACCTGATCCACCTTCACTCAACTCTCAAAGACAAGAGCTCGACAAATTTGAAAACCACCGTGACATACACAGAGCAGAGGACATGGTGCAGCAGACACAATAAAGTGACAGTTTGATGAGTGTTCAGGACACATCAATATGAACATCACACTGCACACATACGCAGAAACACATCAGGAACACAGAATGATGAACGAAATACAGAATAGTATCAAATCAAACATTTAGTGCAGTTATACAGTTAGGTCCAAACAACAGATCTCAGCTTAGGAAGGTGTATTTCAAATAATGTAGTAAGTGCTGGATAATAACAATGCAGTGACTTTCACTGGCATCAAAATAAATGTTTATAATTAAGTTTACAAAGAACAAAGTTAAGTAACTGCAGCTTAAATCTACACACCCTGCTTCTTGTCATGAAGGATAGGAGATTCATCAGCAGGCAAAACATTCAAACTGAACAGAGTGACGATGACAGAACAGGGAAAGCAAAGATTCAACTTGGGACAGGGGATTTAGTTCTCTGTGCTGCGCGCAATTATAGAAGAAGCAGTTTAGTGACAGTCCAAAGGCTTTTCCAGTTGGTTTCTCGCAGACAGGCTTTCATGTAGAGTTAGACTCTACTTTGAATACTTCAAGGCCAGCTGCATGGGAAATAAAACAAATATGTCAAATATTTATTGTAATGAAAACTAATCCAATACATATTCAAATCCTTTACATTTCCATAAAATGAAAATATTACCAATTCTTTCTCTTGTACAAAGAGCTGTATGTTTATGTCACCTTGTGAGCAGTGTCTGCAAACTGCTGGGCTTTGTGCATCAGCTCCACAGTCTTGTCCTCAGCTTGAGTCAGTCTTTCTCCACGCTCCCCCAGAGCCACATTCACCCTCTGGACTACATTACCCATAGTGCTACCTGTAACTCGCTGCCCAGGCTGACCTATTTATACATGCAAAAGAGAAAGGAAGTAAAGAGAAATATATTCAAGTAAGTGTACTGAAAGTAAGACATCAATCAAATACTGTAGAGAACAGTGTCAGCATTATATGGGGATAAGGATTAGGCAAACAAAATGTAGTGGCCATCTCACTTACAAGTGTGAACACAGAACAGCCAGTTTGCTTTTTGAGCATACAGTCTCACAGTTACTGAAATCGCCTTGCATGATCTCAAGGTAGCACAGCTGGTAATGTCAGTTATCAACTTCTGTTTCACTTTCGCTGACAACTTCAAAATTGCTGTTGCAGCTTCAAATATATTTCAGAGGTGTTTGCTGTTTTCAACAGGCACAGTCTTAACCTGGGAATTGAGCACATTGAAACCCTCTGGTTACCACACACATCAGTCTCAACAACAAACAAAGATTTTTAAGTCTTGACAGCCCCACAACATACTGGAAGACAAGGAGAATATTTACAGTCATGTCACTAGGCAACCCCTGAAATCCTACAAGAACACACATTTTCTTGTGTTTCTGCACCAAACCAGAAACACAAAAGCAGTCTGTCTTGCTAATTTATGCTGCAATTGGCATGGGAAAGAAGGGAAACAAAATGCTTTACCAACTCTGTTTGTTTGTACCCAGTTGTGATGAAAATCAAGCTGCACACAAATTTGCTTTTGTTTTCCTGGAGCTGATGGCAAGCGTACTAACACAATTAACCAATTCACAATTTTGAGTTTTCTGTATTTTGAACTGTAAAACCACCCATTCATCCCATTTACCCTGCTAAGTGTCTGTGAGTAAGAACCAAAGCATCATACTTAACTATCATTGTCAGTAGCACTACAGAAGCCTGAATTATGAAGCTGGATGTGAGGTTTGAGTGGTAACTTCAGGGTTAACTGTGGGATTTCAGTCCTAAAACTGTGGTTTACATCTTACCAGGTACATCGTCATGGTAGCTTATGCTTTTTCTCAAGACCATTTTACTATGGTCTATCACAGCCGTCTAAAAAAAAAAATGTTTTCATTTTTCTTTTTATGTGAGGCTAAATATTATGAGTAAATATTAATTTGTGTATAATAACTTTAGGTTGCTTATATTACAGAGATTGGCCATGTACCTGGGCAGGTAATCAGGTGAGTTCCCAGTAAATGTTGAGATTTAGTCTTTCACCATTATTTGAGCGCTTTTATGTTATGAATGGATATTTGGTTTTGTTGCTTTCTGAATTTAATTTAGGACAATGTTTGGAAGTGACGTTGAACGAACACTTAGTCGGTGCCTGCAGCTTCCTTGGTATGTTGAACTTGCTTCATAGGTAAAGCATGAAGTTTTGTTGAACTGTAACTTGGTACCTTGCTGCAGCCTGGCACATCTCACACCATTACACTGCCCCTGTTAGTGCGTTCAATGGTGCGCCGTGCTCCCGGTCAGTCTCGGAGCCCCAGCCTTTCTAAAGACCGGCTATTGTACTGATAAAAGAACAAAGTCTTCTCTCATCTGACCGCCAGATGACAGAGAAGCCTTTCTCCTGCAGCAGGAGAGAGCTGCAGCACAGTGAGGACAATAGACAAAAGGGAAATTGATCCTGAGAGACACAAGCCAAGGATGACATGACCTGAGGAGTCATGGTGGTGTACAATGAAATTAGGCAGGACACCTGCGCTAGGAAGTTTGTTGTTTTGAATACCAGATTACACTGAAACAGCTCCCTATGTTCCCTATTAAAATTTGAAATGTCCCTGAGAAAAGGAATCAGTGCCAAAACAGTCTTCCTGTTGAGTAAACAGAAGTGTTGTTTGACCCTTGACTCAACTGAGCATCTTCTTTGCAGGAGTTGTTAATGAACTGGTGATGCTACAGCTCTCTGATACCCAGTGTTGCGCATGTACGCGCTAAAGAGCCATCCATTTGCAGTAAATGAACGTGCCTTGGTTGTGCCAGACCTTTCCCAAACAGCACCCACCAATAAAACAAGAAGAAAAAGGAGAAAAGCGGTTGAAGAAGAAGAACAGAACCCGCAGCATGTGTAGATAGAAATGTCTCATTCTAAGATTAAAAAAACATAATGGTTCATTATGTAAGGTATTCATACACCACTAAAACATAGTTATGGTTATTATATTGAATTTTTGACACTGGACGTTTAAGCTTTTAAAAACTTAAAAAGCTTTAATAACATTTTAAGGCCCCTGCAAAGTGTCCAGATACCAGAAGTATTTACTTCTCTAGTACTCCACTGGTTTGACATCATAATTGAACACAAGAAGAAGGAACACACGCATGTTGTATAAATATGTCTATAATCAAGGGCGTCAGTTTGTGTTGAAAAGTGGTGGGGATATAGGGGCTCAGATTAGGGGTGTGAAGAGACACTTAGCTCACGAGACATCACAATACATGACATTAGGTTCATAAGAAAGGGACAAATAGATCCTTAAGATCCTTGTTTTAAAGATATCCTCAATGCCAAGATATTTGAGCGGGGGTCTGGGGAACCTCCCTCTCGGACATTTTGATCTTCAAACACTTAATTTCCTGCAATTTATGGTGGAAATGTTTTTGTTTATGTAAAAGGAAACACAAAATTCAGGTAGCACGTGACTATTTCAAAATATATAAATATAATAAAATATAATGCAGTGCAGCTCTCAGGCATTCCTTTTCTCCTGTAGATCAACTCTTCTCATTTGATATCATCCATGCTGAGGCAACACATCTTTAGTCTTCCTTCCTCTTTTGTCATGTTCAAAGGGAGCGAAAGGAAAACTTAACCAAGAAACTGTGTCAAGAAGTTGTTAAAGTTACTGATTGGTGCTGCACATTTTTGGGTCATTTTATAATCAGTAGCTTGTTTTTTTTAGCTTAACTTACTTTGCAATGCAAATTTGTTTCTTTATTTTAATTGTATTGCATGTCTTATGTGCTCTTAATGTGCAAATAAACCTTTCTAAAGGCAATTTTATTTGTTATTTAACTGTAAGCTATATAGCAGAATGCTTTTTAATAAATTATGCTTTCAAAAAGTGTTGGGGACAAAATCAGCCATTTCAAAAAGTGGTGGGGACATGTCCCCAGTGTAAATGACACCTATGTCAACAAAATAGTAATGAGGATACATTCTGATAAAAGAGCTATTGTGTTAGCCATAGTCTTAATTATTAGATCTCTTAAAGTTTAGTAGTTTCCCAGATGATGTCATCATGGCATCATCATTATATGACAGTTTTCACAGGCTGAGAAGGGCTAACCATGAGAAGTAAACTTTTACGATCAGCCTCTTTAATCACTGCCTTACCTCGACCTGGTGAGCAACTTTGGTTTGCAACCATCTTATTCTTCATACGATTAAAGAAGGCTTTGCAACGGTAAATGACCAGATTCATGGTGCAGGCATCTGAAAGAACAGGGACAACACATCTGGGGTCCATCACACATGAACCTAATGATTTCTAGAAGATCATAAACCTCAGTAATCATGTAACACTACCTCCTGTGAGTTTGGACTGGCAGTTGATGAACTCTGTCTGTCTGGAAGGAACGTAGCTCTTCCGTCGGGCCTGCAGGGTTCTGGATGCAGATTTTGGTGGAGAGTCACTGGGACTAGCTCCACCCTCGTGCACAGTGCGCTGACTTGATGCTATCTTCTGGTGACCCACCTTGGCCAGCTTCACAGCCTTTCCCAGACTCCCTGCTTTCCCCTCCCAGTAGGTCTGACAGGCATGGTACAGGATCTGGACAAAGATACACTTTTCTGCTGACGAGCTTGCCACCCATTGATCCACAGCATTGTAAAACACCAGGTCAAACTCTGGGCTGTCCTGGAAGAGCAGGGTACAGAAAACTGACATTGACATACACCTGTGTATAAATCTACTGGTAAGAAGAGAATCTCCAAATGCTGCTACTGACCTTGTTTGGGTTGATGCCGTTGACCTGTCGGAGCTGCTCCACCGTCCACTGGGACCTCCTGGTGAAGGAGGAGGAGCCACCAAATTGCTTCACCTTTGTAATGAGGAGCTGATGTGGCCTCGTGTTGGTCACTAGGCAAACAGATCACATAGGAAAAACGATATCCCTATGGAAAGCTTTTAACAATGGAACAATCGGTTTACGTAATAACTGTACAGAAGAACAGCTTTATTAAGAAATCTTGTGTTTATAATTAATTAATAATTTTAGTCAGAGGCACTTATGTAAAGTAGCTGACCATTTATAGTAAATGATTTTTCAGTTAGATTTGGTACTCTGATATCAATGATATCTGAGTCCCATCTAGACCTGCTCTATATAAAAAGCGCAATAAGAAAACTAATGATAACTGAATTGAATAGTGATTAGAACTGACAATTTACAAAGCCCTGTATAGTACACCTATCAGCTTGTACCTGAATAGATGATGCATGACTTCATATCTCGGGCTGAACTACCACAATTGGATATGAAATTAGTTTTTTTAAATGCATCTTAAATATCATAACCATTTCCATGCAAAGTAATGAATAAGTAATGAATTGCTGGGTTTCTGTAAATAACATCACAGAGTATGGTCTAGTTTCTAGTCTCTTTTATGAAAAGGGCTCTGAATAAAACAGTTTGGAAATGAACCGACATCGGGGCGGCTGTGGCTCAGGAGGTAGAGCGGGTTGGCCGTTAATCGGAAGGTCGGTGGTTCAATCTCTGGCTCCCCCTAGTTGCGTGTCGAAGTGTCCTTGGGCAAGATACTGAACCCCGAATTGCCCCTGGCGACTATTCCGCCAGTGTATGAATGAGTGTGAATGTTAGTTTCCGTTTGAGCACTTAGGCTCAGTGTATGAATGTGTGTGACTGGTGAATGCAGATGTAGTGTAAAAGCGCTTTGAGTGGTCGAAAAGACTAGAAAGGCGCTATACAAGTACGGAGCATTTACATCAATCAAACTGCAACATTAGGACACTACTGCCACTTTCAAATTTGAAAACTTTGGATAAACACTTTTCAAAATGTTCATTTTCCTTATTTTAGTTTAGTCATAGCTTCCTGATATTGGCGACCTGTCCAGGGTGTACCCCGCCTTTCGCCCAAAGTCAGCTGGGATTGACTACCCCGCAACCCTGTACGCAGGATAAGCGTTATGGATGGATGGATAACTTCCTGATTCTTTAGTGAACTCTACTTTACACAGATTTCCATTGCATCCCAACATGCTCTATGTCTTACTAACCTGCTGTTTTATTTTACCTGCCAGGTGTTGTTTTTGGTGGTTTTTGGTGGTTCCGGTGCACAACTAATTTGTGTTTTTGGCTTTTTTTTGGCAACAGGCTGTCACCGGGATTACATGTCTACTGATAGCTCTGCTCCTGCATCTCTGCAAACCCTGCATTCTCCTAAACAATGGCTGCTGTGATGCACCATTTAACAATGCATCTGATCTGAGCAACATTGGCTGTTGAAGCCACACAAAAGAGGCTTAGTTTGCAAAAGTATAAAGTATATATATACTAATAAAGTATATCTATCTCTAAAAAAAGCGCTGCTGGAACGAAATGTTGAAGAGTGTGAATGTGACTACAGGTTATAATCCAGACTGACTGCTTAATGTGGTAATCTGAAACAAGGAAGGTGAATTACCTGTTCTCTTTCATTTACTGCCTTCCAACTACCCGTGAGTGAAGCACATCTAAATCTAAATGTTAAATCTTAAATTAAAATTTCTCGCTGAATGTAAAGCTAAATGTTTAGAAAATATGCTAACAGACCACTCCCCTTGCAGTGTCCCCGTCAACACCACTGACTGTGGATCAGCCATGGGATCCACATGTGAAACAAAGAGCAAACTGGAAACGTTTTAGATTGGCGGTTGGCATTCTGAAATGTTGCATTACCACCACCTACTGGATTATGCGGAAACCCTAAGTGGCCATCCTTTAAAAAAAAAAAATTTACTCCTTTTTCCCGTGATAACAGGATAATTATCTCAAGATAACTAATGTTGTTTTCCCATAATAACGGAATAATTATATCTAGAAAATAATAGTTTAATACCTGTGGCTAACGAGGTAGAGCGGGTTGGCCGTTAATCGGCATGTCAAAGTGTCCTTGGGCTTGATACTGAACCCCGAATTGACCCTGGCGGCTGTTCCGCCAGTGTATGAATGTTAGTTTCTGTTTGAGCACTTAGGCTCAGTGTATGAATGTGTGTGAATGGTGAATGTAGATGTAGTGTAAAAGCGTGGTCGAAATGACTAGAAAGGCGCTATACAAGTACAGAGCATTTACAAGATAGTTAGTGTCCCTTGTTAGTTTAGTCGGTAGAGCGCAGTGATTGCAATCTGAGGTTTGGGTGCTCAATTTGCACCCAAACCTTTGGCTGAATTTGTTTTTATTACAGACCGTTTCACATGCATCAACCTCTGGACACTTATTTTCATTTCCCCAGCATCTCCAGGCAGAGGAAATTCCTGTGCTTCTCATTCGGGGAATCCAATCTCACATCTCCCAACAGCTGTTTCAGAGGTGTGTCATGCATGCATCACAGACTCTTCTGAATGTCCTTAAGAAATTTCCAAAGGTGCTTGACACACTTCCAAAATAGCCATCAGGAAATGTGAAATGTTGATGGATGTGGACCAATTGCCAGGGACCCACACACTCTAGCACATGCTTTATTGCGAGCATGTAAAAAATTATAATTATCATTATAAATTTTTTGAGGATAAAAAAATAAATAAAAATCCACCCAATATGAGGATCAAACACACAACCTGAGGCCGACCTGTTGATTTGATCAAGGTTAAAATCTAATAGTGACCGAGCATTTTCAATAGCTGCTCCTAATCTTTGGAATACATTACCTGTTGAAATAAGAATTACTCGGACTGCTGACACTTTCAAATCCTTGCTAAAGACCCATCTCTATTTATTGGCCTTTAAACAGAGTTGAGTATTGACATTATTGATCTTTTCTACTGTTTTTGTCGTGTATATTTGTTGTGTATTCTAAACCTGGAAAGCACTTTGCTCAACTAGGGTTGTTTTTAAATGTACCATGTAAATAAACTTGAACTTGAAATTGAACAACGCTTGCAAACCCTGCACTCTACTAACTGAGCTACCCTGGACAATGAAAAACCTCTTAAATTATCCTAAAAAAACTTACTTGCCGACCCCTGTATTAAACCATTGTTTTATTTCTTGATCACAATAAAATTTATCCTGTTATACGGGAAAACAACATTCATTATCTCGAGATCTATAAGAAATTAATCCTTTTATCACGGGAAAACAACATTTGTTATCTCAAAATCCTTAATTATCCCGTTATCATGGGAAAACGGAGTAAAAAAATGTGTGAATAGTTTAGGCCACTTCAGGCTTTCATAGGATTAAACAGTTTCCCAGTGCAATATTTTTAGTGTCCTCCCAAAGTATTCCCATTTACAACATTGTCCATTTAATAACATTGACTCAGTTGTCTGAGTTGGTGCAATCCTGCCCTCAGTGTAGTGTTTATCCAAGAATCTGCTTGCAGCATCCAGCACCATCTTCATCTATCTTTCTGATTTACTATTTGTGTCACATGCGGATCCCATGGCTGATGCACAGTCAGTGGTGTGAGCAGGGACACATCAAGGACCGTGGTCTACATGCATATTTTCTAAACATTTTGGGCGAGACATTTTAATTTAACATTTAACATTTAGAATTATATTTAACAATTACATTTAACATTTATATTTACCATTTATATTTTAATTTAACATTTTACCTTTTATTTTACTTTTATAAACATAACACATAAATGTTACATCTAAAAGTTAAATATTGAGAATAAATTCGTAATATTACGTGACTAACATCATGATTTAATGAGAATTCATCATTTTTAAGTCTACCTGCCCTATACTCTGTGGTGCATTACTGCTCTGCTGGTAGTATCCCCCTCAGAGCATCTGATATACACAGTTTGGATGTTCATGGACTTTGGACTGCATGTTGCATGTTAAAATGAAAAAGTGAAAACACTTGTGATCAGGCAGAAATCTCTCCACAAATCTATACATGTTAACTTCACGACTCAGTTTTTTTATGTTTATATTTCATCTATACCAGTTAGTTACCACTTGACCAACGAACTGTCTGGACTTACATCGCAAGAGCGGGATCACTTGATTACTATCACTGCAAATACCGGTGTTGCATGAACTGGACGGAACAGTGATAGGAATGATTAAGAGGTGGATGAAGACAAAAAATAGATGTAGTGAGGACAGAGAGGTGGGGGAGAAACCCGGCCAATAGCAGAAGACTGACATGCCCTCAGGCTACATCAACACTACTACATTTTTGTTTTAAAAAGAGAGTTTTGAAATTAGCCCTGCAATGGACTGGCGACCTGTCCGTCTTTCACCCAATGTACCGTGTGTAATGTGTAAGCACATTGTACTTTTAAGAAATGTACATCAAATAAATGTAATTAATTTGTCTTCTGCTTTACTTTTCCTCGTTTCTGTTTTGTCCACTCTTTAAAATGAATGAAATGTAGCCACAGCACTAAATTAAAATTGGCAGTAAGAGAACATTCAGCCAGTATGAATGCTTAGCTAATTTTCACCGAATAAAAAAAGTATAAAAGCTGGATTTAACCTGAAATGCAGATGAATGTAGCATAGTCTGGTTTGGCTCCAGCAGGCAGGAACGACATCCTCTTCCTTTTCCTCCTTCGCACCTCCACTGCCACTAGCAACCGCTCGTCACGAGGGATGAAGACCTCTTTGTTGATGGCAGACTGAATGTTCATTGTAGTCCTGAGACCTACACAGGTGATGGATGGACATGACTGCGTTTGTAAGGCCTGTTTAGAGAGTGTGGATGGGCAAAAAGACTAAAATATCTGCCAACAAATGTCTTTGATGAAAAACCAAAAGGGGGGGTGGGTTAAAGTATGCATGTGCTGGTCAAACAACTTTACAGTTTAATGATACAGCATACATACAGCATAATTTTTTCTACCTGTTGCCATAATGTCTTTCACTTTCTGCTGCTCTTTTCATTGTGTGTAAGACAGCAGCACTCATACACATATATGACATAAATCAATTGCCATTTAAAAAATCTCATGCCAGTTAGTCTAGTATAAAATCTAGTACTGAAATTATTTGTTGATTAATTGATTCATCAATTACAGACAGAAAATGAATCAACAACCATTTTGATCATTTATTGTTTAAGTCACTTGTCATGCTCTGGCTGCAGCGTCTGCTGTGAGTGTTTACTGTTTTTCTCTCTCAGTAAACTGAATATCTTTTCATTTTCTTCAGTTGGTCAGAGAAAACTAAATGTCTCAAAATGTCACCCGAGGCTCTGGGAAACTTTCTTCAAAATCAGAAAACTTATCAACCAATTAATCAAAAATAATTGTTAGTTCAGTAGTAGAAATATTACAAAAACTACTTACAGTATGTATCACTACAACTTTACTATAGATGAGTTTTGCCTGCTTGGTATACTTAATCAAATGTTGGAAGGCATATTAAAGTCTATGTCTTCGGTAGAAGTAGCAATAACACCATGTCCTGTACTTAAAATGTATTTGGCTAAAGATTTTGTTAGGCAGAGCTTTACATTTTTTAAGGTAACCAAAACATACACATTTTTACAGTAAAGAGTCTAAAAAGGAGTTTATGATGTATTAGTCATTTCCTACCGTACATTTGTCTGTAGGTAAAATCTGCTGGTTAGCCTACCTGTTCTTGTCCTTTTCTCCACCCAAAAAACTGAAGCTTGCTTCTAGTAACTAAAGGAAGATATGTTAGTCTAAACCTTAAATTAGTAACCTGTTAAATTCATTAAATATTTCTCAGGCTTCCGTCATGAATTTATACCCGCGCACGCCAAGCAGCGTGCCTTGCTGTGAAGGCGCAAATAAAACACAGTGCATCCCATTTCAAGTGGCTGACATGCACGTGGTTAAAGGCTGGAAGACAGAAAACAGTCAGCAGCTGTCTCATAGACAGAGCCAGGGCTGACTAGCACTTTAACTGAGGGGGGGGGGGGGGGGGGGGCTCTTCTATGGAGACCCAATTGTTCATTATCAAATAATAATAATAAAAATAATAATAATAATAAATAATAATCTTTATTTGTAGAGCACTCTTCAAACAAGTTACAAAGTGCCTTAACAAGTGTATAAACAATAAAACAAAACAAATACATGATAACAGCAAGAAAACACTTGAGACGTTTTAAATAATATAAATATATATAGAATAGAATAAAATAAAATAGAATAAAATAAAAGTAAATAAAAGTATGTTTTAAGAAGGGACTTAAAAGAGTTCAAGGCTCTCAAGGTACGTACTTTAAAGTAATCAATAAAATTTTAAAGTCAATTCTAAAACATTCTTGGAGCCACTGTAATGGACCTAAAACAGGGGTGATGTGCTCATATTTCTTTGTTCTGGTTCTGCAGCCTAGATCTAACATAGATCGTATTTTTGATATATTTCTAAGTTGATAAAAACATGATTGCACAAGCTTTGTGGTGTGCTGCTCAAAACTTAAATTACTATCGAACCAGACACCAAGATTCTTTGCAACAGGCTTAATGTGATTCACTAGGGAACAAAAATTCAGGGGGCAGAGAGCATATTCTCCTTTTGGGGACTGCTAAGCATGACCTGTATGTAAGCCTTATCTCACCTGTTACCTCAATTGACTCTTTGCTAAGTCACACCCCGATAACACTAGCTAGCCAATCACAGCGCAGAATAGGACTCACTCTGAGTTCCGACACTTTCATGGCTGCGCTCCATTAACTATTCTATTATAATTAAATTCTAGGTTTTTTTGTTTACTTTTTCCAAGATACTGTAATGGGAATTTCATGAGAACCATCTCCAAACACTGCCATGTAACTAATCTCACTAGGGGCCTCTGGTCTCTAGGGTATGGGGTCAACGGAAGGTAAATGTGGGTGATGCTTTATGATATGTACGGGGGGTCATGACTTTAAGTGGTTCACCACATGTATCTGAACATGATAGTCTTACGTTGAGTGTGCCTTAGGGAACACTAAAGACATCATATTCCCTTGATGAGATAGGGCTCCGACCCTGAGATTAGGTTAAAAGCTGCATGTGCTGAGACACTGCAGCTCACTCGGATGATACTTTGATGTGTGTGTGTCCCAGTGATTTCCTTCTGCAGAAGACTTGAATAAAATTCACAGAAAGACAAGTGTTTCCCTGAGCTGTTTATTTAAACACCCTCATTCCCACCACAATTTGGCGTTTTCGACAGGATCACACGCATAAGAGGACTTGGACGCTCGGAGCTGAAGGTGAAAACCGTACTTCAAACCTCCCCTCCAAAATACAGGTGAGACGTTGAGGGACTGACGCCTGAGTGTCTGAGGCTCCCTCACCACTGTGATCCATAAAGAACCTGGCACTCTCTTTCTGGTGAGTAGGCTATTCAAGTGTAACGATTCTCGCTACCAAACAGCATGTGCGTGACAGAAGACGTGTAAGCAGGGCAGGCCTGGGGCCGATGTGTGAATCGGGAAAGCTTTGGGGTTAAAAGTACTGTAGTCAAGAAATCACTGTTGGACAATGGATTTCTTTTAGGTCTGGGACCTTACTGTGCACAGATAAATTCTTTTAGGTCTTACCACACTGGTAAGAAGTGTGGAGGGGCTCAGTGTTTAGATGTTGTGCATCAGCCCCAGCAAGTTTTGTGTTTCTTACTTTTGTTGTGCAATTTGTTGACCCGTTAACAAGGTTAAAGTTGTCCTTACATTGGCCACATTGCCTACAATAAAAATACAGCATTGCAAATCCCCTTGTACTGTAACCACCTGATCCCCATCCTGGTTGTGCCTAAATCTACATCAGGTTGTACATTGAGCCTCTACACTGTAGAGGCTCAATGTACAACCTGAAGGAGGAACTAGTAAGCGTGGCAACATATAATTTTATAACATGAAATTAAAGTTGTTGTTCATTTAATAATATACTCTTAGTATAATATTAATATATTAATCATATAATATTAATATATTAATCATATAATGTTACTATATTGATTATAATTTCATATATTAGTATACTATATAGTTTAACAGTAGTAAAATATCAATTCCAGTTACAGCATTTTTGTGGGGAGTTTTCATTCAAAAAATGCTCTACATGGTGGAGTTAGTCTTTAATTTGATAATGCTACGTGATAACTTAATATTAATAATTAACGTTCATGCATGCTGAACAATCAGTTCAACATTTGAAAGTTTGCTGCAGCACGTCAAACTTTATTTAAGATCTCTAAGATTCTTGAGAAAGCAGTTGCCAAACATCTGTGTGACTTTCTACATAGCAATGGTTTATTTGAGGATTTTCAGTCAGGATTTCATCATAGCACAGAGACTGCACTCGTGAAAATTACTAATGACCTCCTAATTGCATCAGACTTGTCTATGCACTGGTTTTATTAGATCTTAGCGCTGCATTTGATACCAATAACCATCAGATCATATTACAGAGACTGGAACATTTCATCGGCATTAAAGGAACCGCTCTAAGCTGGTTTAAGTCCTATTTATCAGATCGAATTCAGTTTTACATGTCAACAATGAGTCCTCCATGCATGCCAAAGTTAGTCATGGAGTTCATTTTATATATGCTTCCTTTAGGCAATATTATCAGGATACTCCAGAAACTTTCATTGTTATGCAGATGATACTCAATTATATCTAACGATCAAGCCAGATGAAACTCATCAGTGCCTTCAGGATGTTAAAGCCTGGAAGACGACCTCTAATTTTCTAATGTTAAACTCTGAACTAAAACTGAAATTATTGTTCTGGGGCCCAAGCACCTCCGTGACGCATTATCTGAAGATATAGTTTCCTTGGATGGCATTGCCCTGGCCTCCAGCAACACTGTGAGGAATCTTGACATTATAAATTTCAAGGACTGCCTTTTTTCACCTACATAGTATTGCAAAAGTCAGGAACATCCTGTCTAAAACTGATGCAGAAAATCTAGTCCATGCATTTGTTACTTCTAGGCTGGATTACTGCAAATCCTTATTATCAGACTGCTTGAATAAGACACTTAAGACTCTTCAGCTGATCCAGAATGCTGCGGCACATGTTCTAAGAGGAACCGGGTAAAGAGATCATATATCACCTGTTTTAGCTTCTAGAATTTAAAATCCTTCTTCTCACCTACAAAGCTGAAGGAGGAAGACACCATCTCCACATTTAAGAGTAGGCTTAAGACTTTCCTCTTTGATAAAGCTTATAGTTAGGGCTGGCTCAGGTGAGTCCTGAACCATCTCTTAGTTATGCTGCTATAGGCCTAGACTGCCATGGGACTTCCTGTGATGCACTGAGCTCTTTTCTCTTCTTTCTGTCCCTCTGTATGCAACCTCATCCCATTAATGCATGTTACTAACTTGACTTCTTCCCTTTCCCATAGTCTTGTGCTTTCTTGTCCCTCTCCTCTCTCCTCCTATCACTTCCTGCAGGTGTTTCTGGCTCTGGAGCTGTGGAGTCTGGATCTGTGGTTGCGGGTCACCTGCTGCCCCCGTGTTCCTGCTCGACACCCTCTGCTGCTCTTGGTGGGAATTGTAGGGTTTTTGTAAATAACATCATAGAGTACAGTCTAGACCTCCTCTTTTATGAAAAGCGCTCTGAGATAACTGTTGTTGTGATTTGGTGCTATATAAATAAAATTGAGTGTCTTTGCACAATGTGAGGTGTATTGTTGTGAAGTCTGAAGTCTGTGTCTTCCTACAAAAATGTGAAGGCCACAGCATGAGAGAATAATAAGGCTGAGCGAGAACAATTGTACCTCAAAGGTCAGTGTATCTTTCAAAAAACACCTTAAACATTATTCTATTAAACATGTTAATCATTATCCTAATCAAGCTAGGCATATAAATTATTCACACATCACAGCTATAATATGTGCAAATATTCAACATAAGTAACAACATTGTACTTGCATTAGTTATATGCATGCATTTAGATGATCCAGTCAGAATACGTGCTGCAGCATTCTGCACCATCTGCAGTCCTCGCAAACTTTTCTTAGGCAGCCCAGAGAACAGTAGATTACAATATTCCAGCCTAGATGTAACAAAGCATGAATAAGGGCCTCAGCATCTTTAAGTGCCAATATTGATCTAATCTTTGCGATTCTTCGGAGATGAAAGAAGGCTACTTTTGTCATGTAAATCAAATGAAAGTGATCGATCAAAAACAACCCCAAGATTCTTTACTTTACTTTCTCTAAAATACCAGTGGACCAAGGAATGAACCCTGTGGAACCCCATGTTGAAGTGGTGAAGGGTCGGAAATTGTGTTATTATAAAACACACATTGAGATCTTTCTGAAAGGTAAGATCTCAACCACTTAAGCACCTGGCCAGAGATGCTGAAGTATTTCTCGATTCTGTCCAAAAGAATACAGTGATCCACAGTATCAAAAGCTAAGATCCAACAAAAAAAGGACAGATGTTAAGTCTGAGTCAGCAGCCAGTAACAGATCATTTACCACTTTTGTGAGTGCCGTATCAGTAGAGTGTATTGTTCGAAAAGTAGACTGCAGCGGTGGTTTAACCACTACAGATTTGAAGCAAGTCAGAAAAACTCCTGTGTAGAGCGAAAGGTTTAAAACAGGTAAAACATACAATCCTAATATTGGCCATAGTTCTTTAACAACCCAGGCAGGCAAGGGATCCAGAGAGCAAGTGGTAAGTCACAACAATTTTAGTTAACTCAGAGTGGCCCTGTCCTGTAGAAAATGGTCCTGTGATAGCGCAGTCTAATCCCCCAACATTTGACTGGGGTATCGTAGTTCGGGTGTCCTCAACTCTCTCATAAAAATACATCATAAAATCATGTGCTGACAAATCCGTACTACTTACTGGCTGCTGACACTGTATAAGTCTATCACC